CCGCGATTATCTCAGCGCTCGTCAAAAGTTTCGCATCGAATATATAGATCATGTATTTGGTTCCCTTGACAATATGATAAGTGATAAATATAATAAAAATATCAACTCCGTTTCGTTCCCTTTAGACAGAATATGGAAATTTTTCTTTCCGGAGCTCCTCAGTAAGGAAAGGATTTCGTGAGTCCCGTGTGATTTTTGGCTTCAAAATAGTCATAAGAAATGTTATTTTTGATTGATGATGTCGAAATAGTTAAGATTTAGCTTACATGGTGGGAGCAATAAAAAGTATAAAGTATGAAAAAGCGTATAACTCAAATAACTTATGCTCGGACGGAAGCCAGATTGGATCAGTCTATTTCAACTTTCGCTGAATCTTTACCCTTTTCCTTTAGCGGGTTATGAAGTTTAGAGCGATTAGAAATACATATGCTACCTACTAGAGTTTCCGCTACGTTTGTGCGAAAAAGAAATGAAACTGACATCAATCTCTTTACTGAGCAGATATTTTATTAACATATTTGCATCCATATTAATATTTTTACTACAAAAATTTTGTTCTATTGACTCAGTGTTCATCCATAGCAAATCTAAAAATAGGAAAATGAAAATTGATGGTCTACCTGTTTTGAACTCCACTTTTGCTTTAAACCCATTAGGACGAAGCCCATCAGTGACAAGTTTGTCGGTCGTACCAAATTGCACCACCATTCGAGGGCCTTCGCTTACATATGGGCCCATTAAAGGCGACGCTAAAGTATCTCTTCAGTCATGAAAAATGAATTTTCAATTCTTTACATGCTGGTATCCTTTCGCATAAAGTCGACTCATAGTTGCTCTCATCAGTCGACGAAAGTGTGGCTTTCATTGTCGCATCCGAAGTAGCTACGCCAACCCAGGCAACAGGACAGGTGATATCGTCCAAACTTGGTGGTTCGGTTATGACGGTACTGTAGAGGTACTGTAGGTGCTTCGGAGGTTATGGTGGCAAAATTACCTGTCATCATCGGAGAGTACAGCAAATTCCTCGAATGTGAGAATGACTTTTTCGAGGTTTTGATCTCCTTGTAGACCATCAAGAATGTAGGTACAAGTGGTGTTGGGAGGGTATAGATCGGGGAACTG